TAAAATGTTATAGCCACTTGTAAACAAATATATTTGGATGCTTGAATTACCCTTTGCTCTCATGGGGATGAGTGTGTGTTGTTGTCTGTGTACATCTACACCCCTGTAAACAATTGTGTGCATATGAACGCTTGAATAAAAATGTCCCATATGGCAAACAAAAACAAATGTGTGTGTGTGTGTGTGTGTGTGTGTGTGTGTGTGTGTGTGTGTGTGTGTGTGTGTGTGTGTGTGTGTATACAATATTGTAGGAGAAGAATGAAAATGATTTGGAGAACACAAGTTTGAATTACACAAGTGCATTCATTTCACCGTACGTGACACAAACACCAAGCAAGGGTTCACAAGACACCGGTGTACGGATCAGACACTCATTGAAAGTGGACACGAGTTTATGTGTTATTGTGCGTCTATGTCTATACCCTTCTAAATAATTGTGTGGGCATACGGATGCTTGCAGCATAACAATGTCCCGTATGGCAAAAAGGCTTATGTGTTATTGTGTATGATATCTTAGAAAAAAGACACAACGATTTTCTCAACACAAGTTTGAAGTACACAAGTGGCATTTTATTTCACCGTAACATGACACAAACGGCAAGCAATGGTTCACAATACAACGGGTCACAGGCATGTATACGAATCATATGTTGAATCATTGAAAAACAACAACGGTTTTGACATGATTACGGCCTGATTCGAAGCCCCGCACTGGTAGCAGTAAAACCGCCACAACCCCGGAGGAAAGGACGAGGTCTCCGTCTGAGCGCACCAGCACCGACGCCTCTCCCCTCGAGATCACCAAATCGCCTGGCTCGGCGATCCCAAAGTAGGCCTGCTTCTCGGGTATCACCGTCTCCTCGGGCGGTCGGAACCACTCGCTCGAGTGTCGCCCGAAGAACCATCCGCCGGGGGACTCCGAAGTGCTTTCGCACAGTTGAACGTAGTGGTTGACGAGCACGGAGCCCTTGATGTGTAGGTCGTGTATACACCCGTCGTCGTCAGGTTCGATCTTCGTATAACCGCTTGTCTTGACATTCAGAACCGGCTCGTAGATCGCCCTGGCCTTCGTGAAGTTGGGAGCTATGACCGATACGCCGTGAGAGCAGACTTTCGAGTCGACACAGGACACTTCCATCGCGTTGTAGACGTCCACGCTGACATCGCCGTAGTGTAAACCCAGGCCGTCTCCGATGTCTTCGGCAAATTCAGCCGAGGCTCCCCTGGAGATGAGCACTCTGCCTCGCGACGTCATATGGTCACGCTCTCCGAAACGAATGCTGGTACCATCTCTGGATATGACCAGATCCGTACTGGACGATTCCGTCTTGTTAGCTGGGGTGCCCCGGTAGGCCTGTGTCTTTTGCAGGTTTGCATAAACGGTGTTACAGAGAGTACCCTCGATCGCCACGTTCCTATACACAACCGAGTTGGTGTTAGCAACGCCCTGGCCCTGCGATCTTCTGTTGGTGATCAGCACATCCACGGCCACTGAGCCGTCAAAGACGACTTTTGGGGTTTCATGTTGAGTCGCCTTTATCATCGTTGTTCTAGCTATTCTGGTAGGGGGTGGGGTGGGGTAAGTGCATTTTCATTTATAGCTCTTTTATTGCGTGTGTATGATTGCAGGGGAGAGTCATTGAAGTTAGAGACAGTGATTTGCAGAACACAAGTTTGAAGTACACAAGTGCATTTATTGCATCGTACGTGACATAAACAGCAAGCAAAGGTTTGCAATAGATTGACGTTGGTCACAGGTGTATACAGATTATACAGATCATTGAAAGACGACCATGAGTTTGTCAAACTTAAGGTCGTTGCCGAAGCGAACCGGTAGCATTAGAGCGGCCGCAACCCCGGTAACGTGGACTGTTTGTCTGTGCGAGCGCACCAGCACCGAGGCGTTACCCCTCGAGATCACCACATCGTCAGGCTCGGCGATTCCCCATTCGGCCTGCTTCTCGGGTATCACCGTCTCCTCGGGCGGTCGAAACCAGTCGCCCGAGTGTTGCCCGAAGAACCATCCTCCCGCAGTAGCCGCCATGCATGGGCACAGCTGAATGAAGTGTTGGACGCACAAGGTATTCTTGAAGTGTGCGTTGCGTATACACCCGTCCTCGTCAGGTGTAATCTCGGTATACCCGCTTTTGTTCAGTCCAAAGACCAGGTCGCCGTTTGTTCCGGCCGGTATAAAGTTAGGAGCCGCGACCGATACTCCAGGGGCGTCCTTCTCGGTGTAGATGACCAGGGAGCCCGTGGAGTTATTGTAGTGTAAACCCAGGCCGTCTCCGATGTCGTCGTTGAATTCAGCCGAGGCTCCCCTGGACATGACCACTCTGCCCCTGGACGTCATATGGTCAAGCTCCCCGAAGCGAACGCTGGTGCCGCCTCTGGATATGACCAGATCCGTGCTGGACGATTCCATCTTGTTGTGCGGGGTGCACCGGTAGGCTCGTTTTTTTCGCAGGTTCGAATAGATGTCGATGTTGACCTCGCCGTCCAATGTCACATTCTCAAACACGATCGAGCAAGTTTTAGCGATGCCTGGGCCCGGCGGTCGTTTGGTGATCAGCAAGTTCACAACCACCGGGTCCTCAAAGACGATTTTATTAGGCTTGCGTTGAGTCGCCTGGGCGTTTATCATCGTCGCTCTGTGCCGGTGCGGGGATACTAAGGATCTCACGGTGTTCTCATTTATAAGATGAGAGGATCTCCAACCCTTTATCCAGACTGAGATTGAAGCGTCCGACTATCGACGAAAGAGCGAACCTAAGTCCAAGGGGCTCTCCAGCCTTGGCCGAAGTGTCAACGTCGACGACGAAGCCTGTGCGCTTTACGACTACCGCCCATGTTCGGTATCCTTTTCACATGACATTCGTGTGACTCTTCTACGCTGAGCTTCCAGCAGCGGTGCCTCGAACAGAGTTGAGCAGCGCAGACCAGCAGAAGATCAAACCACCGAACAAACAGTAGCACACTTGGACGCTAAACCACAATCGACTATGATCTGCGCACCCCCACCTCCCCAGGTCTCAGTGAAACCTCATCATGAACACAATCAAGGACTTCGAATGGACTGAGCAACAACAACAACAACAACAACAAGAACCGAGGATTTTTCATGTGACTTTTGAACTGCGGCATGACGAAGTCGGCTTACCGACGGAAGAAATCACTGAGAAGCGATACCTCGAGTATCTACAAAACCAAGATGGTCCGCGGGGTTGCACACCCGAGCCGATGGACATCCCTTGAATCTACATTGTGGCATACAGGGCGGGTGATCGCGACCTATGCGGCCATCTAGCTCCAAACATGTCCAACTGGCAACGTCGAGCTGGAGACAAGGTGGCTCGCGTCAAACCGGCATCCCAACATCGGGAGAACATTTCGAGGATCGAGCACCACAGGCCGAATCTACATCCTTCAACGTTTCGACTTTGTGTATTTGGGTTTTTTTTTGTTTTTCTTATATGCATGTCTGTAACACATACAAAAAAAAATAAATAAATAAATACAAACGTCTTTGGGGATTTCTAGTGTTCCTGCCAAAGCCTAAAGTGGTTGACAACTTCTGTTGAATCAAAGACAACTGCAGTTGGACAAAGTGACTTCGGAGCCAACCGCGTTGCACACGTTCTCGCATTTACACGCACGGCAACACGGTCCCATTATTCACAATCCTCAGCCTGTACAATGCATTATTTCCAACTGCTGAGGGACTACAAAGACGACATAGCAGAGAGGCTTAGCTATTTCAGAGGTTTAGCGGATGAGATCCTGTCAAATGACCCCGACGGTGAGAATCTACGCAGGTCTTTTCACAGTAGGACGAATCCGGTTAAGGCGCTCCGTAAGATCGTCGACTATTGCCTTAAGAACGAGGAACGCGCACAGAGATTCGTGAAGGCTTTCCGTAAGATTGATCCCTACTTGTATTATGACCTGAGACACTACGGACCACGGGGAAAGTTCGGTGAGTGCAATGTACAGCAAAATCGAGGCCCGGATCGCTGTGACTTCTTGAGACTAAAAGTGTTTGTTTTTTTTGTGTGTTTGTTTCAGTCAGGAAAGCTCCTCCTGTGGCTTTGACAGAGAAGGTGTGCGCCGCGCTCGGCAACAAAGCCCACGCTCTAAGGTCCACGCTTCTGACGTCGGAGTATGTTGGGAGGATTACGCACGTCAGGACCGCGCTAGATGTATTGGTGCATTACGAGCAATTGCTTCCCGAAGAATACGCCGAGCTCTGGTTAGACCGCCGCGATAAGAACGCTATGGTGCGGTATCTGGGAAACCTGTGCGGGGACACCACCGTCCCCGAACCTAACCGGCGGTTCATCTCCTTGGTGATGTTTTCGTTTAACATGCATGTGTTCGGCCTGCCGAAAATGTCTATGACAGATGTCTTGTGCTTCCAAAACACTGATGTGTAGCTGTGTATTACAAAATAAAATGCAGTGAAGTAAAAGACCTGTCGCCTTGTCTCAATTGTGAGAAATGGAGCTGTTGTAAGCACACTTGGCAACCAAAACAAACAGTGCCGGCTGGCTCCTAAGGAGAGTTTGAGAAGCACCACAGTGCTTTATGAACATGTACATGAATTAGTTCTTGTGGAAATCAAACACAGAATACACAGATAACAGAACTATTTTTTTATTACAAACAAAAAAGAGAGATTGCAGACAACAACAGGCTTTGATTCCAGCCACAGTTTCATCTTTACATGCGTTTAGTCATATCGGGCACATGTCCCATAAAATGCATTACAGACAACAGAACATTTTCAGCTCGCCACCTCAGTAGCACTGCAGCTTCTGTGGAAGACCAAGCAATTGTGGCGGTCGCACTTATATAGGTGGACAAAACCACAACTACCGTTGGCTATTGTTGAACAACTTCAGTTAGGTGGTTTCAATCGCAGGCGTCATCTTCAATAGCGTGTGCAATTGTTCCCGTATTTACACGCGCTGCAACGCGGCCCCTCAACCTCGGCCTGTAAAATGTATTCTCAAATACTGAGGGGCTACAAGGACGACATAACAGAGAGGGTTGGTTATTTCAACTGTTTAGCAGACGAGGTCCTGCCAAATGACCCCGACAGTGAGAATCTACGCAGGTCTTTTCACAGTAGGACAAATCCGGTTAAGGCGCTCCGTAAGATCGTCGACTATTGCCTCCAGAGCGAGGAACGCGCGGAGAGATTCCTGAAGGCTTTCGGTAAGATAGACCCCTGGTTATATAATGACCTGAGACAGTACGGACCACGAGGAAAGTTTGGTGAGTGAAATGTACAGCGAAATCGAGGCCCAGATCATCGTGACTTTCCTGAGACTAAAGTACTTTTGTGTTTGTTTCAGTCAGGAAAGCTCCTCCCGCTGTGACTTTGACAGAGAATGTGTGCGCCGCGCTCGGCGACAAAGCCCACGCTCTAAGGTTCATGCTTCTGATACCGGAGTATGCTCGGAGGATTACACAGGTCAAGTCCGCGGTAGACGTATTGGTGGCACACGAGCAATTGCTTCCCGAAGAATATGCCGAGCTCCACGTAAACTCTGATGATGAGTACACTATGATCCGTTATCTGGAGAACCTGTGCGGGGGCACTACCATCCCCGAACCCAACCGTCAGTTCATCTCCTTGGTGATGTCTGCATTTAACATGCATGTGTTTGGCCTGCTGCAAATGTCTATGAAAGATGTCCTTGTGTTTCGTGTGTAGCTGATATGTTGGTAAAAATGTCTTGTTGACTTGTGATATGCGGCTGTGTATTACAAATAAAAATGAATTTGGTGAAAGTTCCTGTTGACTAGTCTTATTTTGTTTCTTTTTTTTTTGGGGGGGGGGGGCACCGGGCAAGAAAGCTTTATTATTAGTCAAGACCGTTGTAAGCACACTTGGTAATCCGCATCAAGTATGCGGCCTCCATTCGGGATGACTGAGTGCTGGTAACACGGTTACGGCTTTGGTGTTGAGATAAGACAGTGATAGGTTTCACATGTTTGAACCACAAACAGCCAGGCACCCAGACAACCCATCCCATCGTGTTAGCTGTTACGAGAGTTCAAAGTCCAACCAGAGCCACTGTGTCTAACCAGTCTGGAAACGTCAGACCGCAGCTGCTCTATCCAACCATTCCGCAAATCCTTGAAATATCCGACCGCGGCCGCTCTATCCAACCATTCTGTGAATCCTCGAAATATCCGACTGCAGTCGCCTAAGCCGACCGTTCCATGGAGCCTCAAAACGTCCAACCTCATTCGCTTTAGCCAACCGTGCCATGGAGTCTCGAAATGTCCAACCTCATTCGCTTTAGCCAACCGTTGCAAGGAGCCTCAAAACATCCAACCTCATTCACTTTAGCCAACCTTTTCAAGGAGCCTCGAAACATCCAACCTCATTCGCTTTAGCCAACATGTCCACCCTCATCCGCTTAAGCCGACCGTTCCAAGGAGCCTCGAAACGTCCAACCTCATTCGCTTTAGCCGACTGTTCCAAGGAGCTTCGAAACGTCCAACCTCCTTCGCTTTTTCCAACCGTTCCGACCTTTCCAAGGACCTTCAAAACATCCAACCTCATTCGCTTTAGCCTACCTTTCCAAGGACCCTCGAAACATCCAACCTCATTCGCTTTAGCCGACCGTTCCAAGGACCCTCGAAACATCCAACCTCATTCGCTTTAGCCGACCGTTCCAAGGACCCTCGAAACATCCAACCTCATTCGCTTTAGCCGACCGTGCCATGGAGCCTCTAAACGTCCAACCTCAGTCGCTTTAGCCGACCGTTCCAAGGAGCCTACATGACGTCCAACCTCCTTCGCTTTAGCCGACCGTTCCATGGACCCTTGAAACGTCCAACCTCCTTCGCTTTAGCCGACCGTTCCAAGGACCCTCAAAACATCCAACCTCATTCGCTTTAGCCGACCGTTCCAAGGACCCTCGAAACATCCAACCTCATTCGCTTTAGCCGACCGTGCCATGGAGCCTCTAAACGTCCAACCTCAGTCGCTTTAGCCGACCGTTCCAAGGAGCCTACATGACAGTTATAATACGAGGTATTAGACAAAGCGAAGCGTCTTGGCCGACAAAAACACACAAGGCGAGCATGAAGCTCATCGCGCTACTGGCTTGCATCGTGGCGTGTAAGGTCTCCGCTGTGACTGAGACCTACAATGCCCGGTGTCCCAGCGGCACCACCGTCACCGTGAGCGCTCCCGTTACGGGGGTGATGTCCACATTCAAACATTACAAGGCGCTCGTGTGTACTGCGTGTGGTGTGCCAGACTGCAAAGAAACAAGACTGTTCAAAGGCGACCGCGAGAAAAAGGATGACGACCCGGTGAAGACTACTAGGAACTTGGAGAGCTTGAGTCTAAAGAACTACGATGCGGATGAGACGAACGTATCCTACAGATGTCCCGGGGGTGGTGTTCGAATGGTCGGCTGTTACAGGAGTCACACCATGAAGGAATGCCTCACGGGTCGATGCAATCGATGTAGGACCTCAAGCTGTGAAGTGTATGCCGGAAGCAGGAGGGTTAGCTCCCACAAAGTGGCCATCTCCAGAGGCATATATCAGGTTGCCGCAAGGGTTTCCACGCGGCCTATGGAGGGGCGAAAGAGATCGGCCGCTTCCGTCAAAGCCGAGAGAAAGCCGGTTGGAGCTGCAGGCGTCGAGGACAGAGACGCGGTCGGCGAGCCAGCCAAAGTCATCCGAGCGCCCGGGCAGCCCGCGGACGACACGGGGCGAATCGGTCGTCGAGCAGAAACCGCTACGCAAGATGTCGACGGAGGACCGAAGGGTTCGCTCGACTCGACCGGTCGACCGCCGAGCTTGGAAGAGGAGAGGGAGAGCGAGGAAGATGGGAAGTTACCGTCCACCACAAAGGCTTCGAGCGACGACAACGTTATGAGAGACCGTGATCGGTACAAGGGCGACACAACGGCTATGTGGGACAAATATGCATCATACATGATGATCATCGCGGGTGCCGTTGTCCTGGTTATTAGCTTGGTGTGTTGTGTGTTATGTTCCTGTTGTCTAACTTGTGCGATCAAGTACCCTATCAGGAAAGGTGCAAAGATCCATCTGGATAACCAGTCACCATATTGCACCCCTTCGGTCTAGGTGTCATTTTATTGTGCACGTTGACAGTATGTACACAAAGCGTGAAAGTGAATTGTTCTACATCTCGGGGAGTCGGTTGTGGGGTACGATGTAGTTTTCCTGCATTCACTTGTACATTGTGTATCTGTATAATGGAAAATAAAGATGCTTCATGTGAGCAAAACTCTGGCTTCCGCATGTCATTTGGCAAAACCACTGTCTAGTTCTAGTGTGCATCCCAACCCGGCCTAGCCTCACCACACAAGCGGGCTAGAGCTCCCTCTCCCACACT